TTTTAAACAAGAAGATAAAAACTAACACAAACTAATATAAAGTAAGAAAGAAGAAGAAAAATAAATCAAAGAAAAAGCAAAGAGTGCAAGGAAAGAAAAAAAGTTAAGAAAAAAATAGAAAAGAAAAAAGAGGAGTGCACATTTTCTAAAGGTCAAGTGCAAGAGGCCAATGGCTGACCTAGCTGCATCTTGCATTATCGGGACCTGTGAAACCTCTTCAAGTTGCCTCTCCTCTCCCCATACAACTGATCCCATAGAGACCCTGCTTAGTTCCTGAAGAAACACACCCTGCCCATCCTTGCAGCCTAACCATTGCAGCAATAGTAGCCCCTGCTTGCTGTTTGATCTCTCTCCCACTTCCCTCTTTATTACAGCCAACATGCTCTTGTACCTAAGGGAAGACCTGGCTTATTGGCTTGCATGTCATGGAGACCAAGAGGTCCCTGCCTGCTCAGATGCAGCGACTGAGCCCCTTGCTCCCCTTGTATCCCAATGCCACTGCAGTCCCTGTGGCAGAGAACAAGGCATTATCCAAGCACAGCTGTGTGGAGGACATGACCACCATCATTTATTTATTTATGCAGAGAAAACACTCAATTTAATATGGCTCAGTAGGACCAGTGGCATCTGAGCTGGTCTCATCGGACTGCACGTTCTCTTCTTTTGCACACTGAGCCTAGCTAGCAAAAGGTCCCTTTGGGCAGTTTCCCTCTCCATTTCACTATGTTTATGTAATGTCCACTGTATTGATGATGATCTTTACAACTAAGCAATCCTCACAGCAGCCGAAAGTTGAGGCTTTCCCTAGTCTGAGCTGTGAAACATCTGGGATCCAAGGTCTGCCCTTCAATGTAATGAGTAATAATGGGCAATCAGAAGAATTCCATAAATTCACCTATTCATACCAGGAATTATGGGCTGTAGCTGAGAACGACTGTACATATAAAAAGCAGGGCTGGTTTTTACTTTCTTTAGCTCTCACTGTATTCCTGTGACTTGTATGCTTCATTTATAATTTGTGAAATAAATTAAATAGGCATTGAAGTATCAGTTAAAGCAAACAAACAAAAAACCAAAATAAGGAAGCTCTCACAGAAGCAACTATTTTGGATTAGTTCCAAAGGCTCCTTTCTCTGATGGTAGATTCTTCAGTTAAGTGAAATCTTTTTCCAAGACAGGAACGGAAACTTGGATCTCACCTATGTATGCGTTATAAAAGAACATTCAATCTCTGGCACTGCCAGTTAAAATCTTAGGTCCCAGATAGTTGGGATACAACAAAGCTTCTTTCTGACTAAGGCTTGGGAGACAGGCTGCCAATTAGTGTTAGAAAGTCCAATATTCCAAACTGCTATACAGAAGTTTCCTTTCTCTCTCTCTCTCTCTTTTTTTACTTTTTTACAATCTGCAAAGATCAGTAGGAAAATTTATTTCTCTGAATTTCTCCTTTCCAGAAAGATTCCACAACTCCTTTCAGGGAGTTACCACAACTGAACCTCTGCTGTACTTCTAGGGAAATTCCTGCCACAGGCCTGAAATTCCAACACAGTTGCTACTCTATTTCTTGCCACCTACTCAACCTCCCCTCCTCAGTACAACATGGATGTTGCATCATGCATAAAATATTCATTTGCTAGCTAGATGCCTTTCCCTGCATCTAAGTCTATCTTGCATTCTGTTCAATCCCTGCATATAATATATAACCTGCCCTTCTCCAGGTATATGGTAAAGCAAAAGAATCTCCCAGGCACAGGGTTCTTGAAGAGCACTTTCACAGCCCCCAATGCACATTGCCCAGTGTGGTACCATTATAGGAAAGATAGGATTTGTCGCATGTATAGCAAACCCTATGGCAAGTGTACCATAGAGAGTACATTTTATAGAGGGAAAGAAGACAATTATACACCCACAGTTCATACTTGTGGAATGGTAATTTCAGATAGACAGTATTTTTCTGTCTCTAGTGACAGTGTAATAGCTAAAATAGAGGCTATAAACACTGTGCTACACTTCCATGTGTTTCTGGACTTTCAGAGCTGGTGATGCCGGTGTGTGATAACATCAATGGAATAGGCATGGCTGAAATTTCTAGTCTGTGTTGGGGGGGGGGGGTTGGGAGGGTTTAAGTGAAAAAATGAGTGTGTCCTGGATTAAAAGTAGTGGTTAGATTGACATATGGTTTACCAGTTTTCTTGAATAAGCAACCATGATGTTCACACATCAAACTAAGCTATAAATTATGGTGTACAAACCCCAATAGCCATATTCATTCAATACACTAAGCCAAAAATAGTGGTATCATTATCTGGGCTCCAAAAATCCAAACAACTGCTAGATGGCAGCAAAGAGGTAAGAATTTTTTTTTTTTTTTGCTCCCAACTGCAGTTCTCTGGATTTTTGTAATCCACATATAGTAGCCCCAGCCAAAAGCAAACAAAATATATTATGTCTTAGCTTTGCCTGATATGGAGCCTACCTACTTCATTATGAATCCGGTATTCTCTGATTTCATCTCATTTCTACCATGAACTATCTATCTTCGGGTATTGTGCCATCATGTCATGACACAATCATCTCCATCCCTTTTGTATGTGCCTGTTGTGTCATGACACACTTACAAAAGAAACAAGAGTTTGCATCACACTGGCATAGTGCTTTCATCTCCCCAATGCTGTTGCTCATACTAGCTGTATTCATACGAGATGCTAATTAGGGTTATTCTTAGTCCTGGCATTTTATATGTATCCAGACCTTGGCTCCAACTGTGGTTAAAGAAAAGTGCTTCAACCAAAGTTTTTACATAAGATTTGTTAATTTGCTGTTATTTTGGTCTCTTCCCTGTCTTTGAGACCTTGGAGAGGTTATTTTGGAGTTTAGCATCACCTTGCCCACCATAGCTTTCACTTTCCTAATGTGAAGTGAGCCCCCTGGCTAACAATTAAGCATGGTCTGTGGCTTCTTCAACAAACTTTTTTAATAAAACCAAATTACTGTAATGTGTGAAACCAGGTAATTGTATTATGGCTTTTTAAAGAGATAATATATGCACAACTATGACTTAGTATATGACTCATATCATGATTTATTTACTCGGTGACACAGATTCAAGTTCACCTTCAGCCATGGAAGTTCACTGGAGGCCTTTGGGCCAGGCATTATCTTAGCCCAACCTATCCCATAGATTTGTTGTGTGGGGAAAAAAATAGAGAAATGGGGAATACTCACCTGGCAAATCCTGAAGGAAAGGCGGGATAAAGCTCTGGTTTTAATACTCTGAATTAGGTGATATGTGAAAACAGCCTTTGCCCATATTTGCACTACCTGCTAACAGTTAAAGACCTTGCATGTTGTTTAGTCACAGATCTTAGGATAACTACCTTTCCCTATAAATTATACAGAATGACAACTTAATGTCTGCGTGTATACAACACACTGAGCCATGGTTTAACTACAGTTAATAGAATAATACACTCTATATTTATACAACACATAATGCTGTCAACCATGGTTTTCAAATCACTCTGGGTGCATAAAACTTTCTAAGCCACAAACAAGAAAACCTTATTTTGCCTTAGTGTGTTGTATGAAATCAGTCATTATGTGGAAAACACTTTGAGGACTTGAACCATTACCTTATTATGAAATAGCATATAACATTACCTCAACCACTATTTGATAGAAAGAATGAGATGCGGGCCTTGTACAACTGTCTTTACTGTGATGTAAGGCCAATACAATTTTACATACACACTCTCTCCCAGGGAGAAATATCTGTAGGAACTATCAGATTTTAGACCAGAATAACTTACTTGGTTCTACAATCTTTGATGTGAGTTGAGAGTATCCCATTATACCAAGACAGACCAGAAACTATTTTGTGCTGGCTTAATCAAAGGCACTCCTAGTTGTGGATCCGGCAACAAAGCACTAATTAATCTATTCATGTAAGCATGCCTACACAATACAATCATAACCACTTTTACTTAAAATAATTCTCGCTGAGATAACGATAAACTCCCTCACAACGGCTTTAGCATTGCAGCTTCAGGGCAGGCCTATTCGCTCAGAAGCCTCACTGATCTGAATATGACTTGCTCCCACGTAACAGCCCGAAGGAACAGAGCTCCATCCACTTACGTGAAGATAAATGCCGTGCAATCAGTGGCACATCCCAATAAACATGGATAGGGTAGCTAAACAAGCCCCATTAGGTTGGGGCGGGAGGGGGGGAATCTGCCTTCTTCTTCCTTTGAACTACAGTACCTCCCACCAGTGGGATATATGGAGCCAAACAGGGATGGCTGCGCACACAGTTGCAATTCTACACAAAGCAAGCCCAGGCTACAATCCTGGGCATGCTTGCACTTTGTATTGGGGGGGGCGGACGGGAGCCACTTCAGAGGAAATAGACCTTCGATTCTGCTGTGCCTTTTCTCCAGCCTCGTGGAAGTCTATTCCGAACCGCACGGACCCGTCCGTTCTGAAGGGGGCCTTTGCTGGTCTTTGAAGAGATTCGCATTTGCATGGGAGAATTCCAGAACGCCAAATGGCTGCCTTAGGGGGTGTCAATGTCGGCTGCTGATTGGACGGCGGACAGTCAGTTTGACGGAGGAGAGGATTAGGCGGTGCAATTGGTTGGGTTTTCCCTGTCGCCCCTTAAAGACCAAAAAAAAAAAAATCCTTGAGCCGGCAACTAATTTTTCTCTCACCATCTTTCCTTCCTCCCAAGCATTTTCTTATCTTGGGTGATGAGGTTGCAGGAATTCCCCCCTTTATTCTGCTTTACAGGGTTCTTTCAGTAGCGTTACTATTTGGAATACATGCTGCTAGATAAAAGGGCTGCCATCGTGGCCTCAGGAAGTGCCTTTAAGTATGAAGCAAACATCCTAGTTACTTAACAGCCCGTGTATGAGCTCAATTATATCCTTCGTCTCTTCCGATATGAATTAAAGAAGGCTCGGCTTTGATCTGGAATTAAGCAAACCTTACTTTAAATCAGCCTACCATAGGATTTTATTAGGAACAGTGGTTAGTGGTTAACATATCCAGGAATATGGTGGTGGGAAGCTTTAAAATGCTGTGCTGGGTTGGAACAGGCACTTCACCCTGACTTAAAAAGCAGTTTTGGACCCAGAAGGTATGCAGAAAGTATTTCACTTAAAGTGCGGGGGGGGGGGGAAGTATCTTACACACCTTCCTTTTCTGTTAAATTAACTCTAGCCCATTTCATGTAATGGATCCTCAAGACAAATTAGAACTAAAGTTATAGTGAAGTTGTGTGTCACAAATATTAAAACAGATGTGTGTTCAACTCAAAAACAAAACAAAACAAGAAATACAAGTAGGCACCAGAAGACCTTTTTGGTATAAATGTTCTTCATATGTTGCCATGCAGAATGTAACGTCAGTGTAACAACTTCTCAAATGTCCAAATTCCCCCTTATGCTGTGGAACAGATGTTGTCCTGCTTTCTATTACTTTAATTTATGAACCTTACATATGCTGACTTTTCAAACCAAAGCTATAAGAGTTTGAGTTATATCATCATATATTGTTCCCCCGCCACCACCCATTTCTATGAGGAATTATTTGGGGTAATTTTGTTTGCCCTATCTCAGCAATAAAGTTTGAATTTCTTATAAATAGGTTAAAATACACCTGGTCCAAAAGAGTTCAACTTGGGGAGAAGCCATTCTTAGGCCCAAAATAGCACAATTAGAGAAATATTCAAAGATCCATGTTAGGAAGGGGGTTTCTTGTTTCAGATGATCTAATGCAGTGTTTCTCAACCTTGGCCACTTTAAGATGTGTGGACTTCAACTCCCAGAATTCC